GACATGGTGGCTTAAATGATATGTGAAAATTCCTCAGTGTTGGAAGCTGAGGTCTGAGATCAGGGTACCAGTGCAACGAGCGCTCAAATGGCAACTCTTACAGCTTGTAGACCTTGACCTCACATGATCTTTACTGCTCTGCTCTGTTCTAGGGAACGAAAGGGGATCCCCGCTTCTCTTCTCCTAAGATCACTATTCTTACCAGGAGAGCCCCACCCTCATGACATAATTTAACTGTCTTTATCTCCCTGAAGCCTCATCTCCAAGGAACATAAAGTTAAGGGTTAGAGCTTCACTATAACAGTTGGGGTGGATGGGGATATCAGTATTCAGCTACTACATTGGTCATTCAGTGGGGTCAGAGACAGGCCGGCCTCTATGAAGCCTGTGGACAGGTTTGGAGTCAAGGTGAGGGGAAAGCTCTCGGTAGGAGGGAGCTGTGGGAAACCCCAAAAGCATCCATGTCCTTGACCAGTGTGTGCCGCTATGGTGGCATGCGACTACCCGACACTGACACTTGTTTGTACACATGGCACACGTGTGTGGGGACCTGGCTTCAGTTCCACAGGACACACGTAAGAGCTCATCTGTAACCCTGGTGCTCCTGTGGCAAGATGGGAGGTGGACCCAGCAGAATCCTAAGTAGAGAATGTGAGTAGCAAGTTCTTCCATTTATTTGGAACAGGAATTAAAAACTGCATCACAATAACAGCCTGCTCAGAGGGACTCCAGCTCTATTTCTCAGGTGAGGAAATCATGTGGCCCCTTGCCTCAGTTTGTGGTGCCACTGCAGGCCAAGAGTCCTGGAATTATGATGGGTTCCTGTTTTTCCTTTTAAAAAGTCTGTATGTGCACGCGTGTGTGTGTGTGTGTGTGTGTGTGTGTGTGTATGTGTGTGTGTGTGTGTGTGTGTGTGTGTGTACCTGTTCAGATGCATGGAATGTGTGTGGAGACCAGGCTTAGCCTTGGGATGTTTCTTAGGTGCTGTCCATCTCATCAGTCTGGAACTGTTTAAGAAGGCTCGCTCAGCCATCAAGCCCCAGGGATCTTCTCCCCAGTTCTGGGATTACAAACTCAAAGCACTATGGCCAGTTTTTCTTTTGAATCCATAGGATCTAATTCAGTTCATCCTGCTTGTGTGGGACAGACTGAGCCATCTCACCAGCCCCGGTTTCTTCAGCACCTGTCCTTTTCAAGTGTGGGCGTATTTGGGCACTTCATGTTTTCAGTCTTTGCCCTTTGGGGTGATGGTGACAGCTATCTCTGAGGTCCCCTGAGCCAGCCTTTTCTCCAAGCACTTGACTTAACACCTTCTCTTTCAGTCTTTACAGCAGCCGTGGAATGAGGAAGGCATTGTTGCTGAGGCAATATAGAAAGGCAGGGAGCATAAGGGGACGGAGAAAAAAAAGGGACGACTCCCTCCAGAGTGATTGAAGCCTTTCACCAGCTGAGAGTCAGAAATTCTGCCTCAGTTAACAAAATCTGCTGTGAAGTTGCCCACATAGAGACAACACGGTTTTCTTTCTTTCCCTACAGATATTTCAAATAAGAATATTAAAGTGGTGTAAATGTGTATGACCAAGCATGGCCTTTCTTTTACCCTAGACACAAACCTGTAATTTTTCTAGGGACAATTTTTAAATGTTCAGTTACATCACTTTTTGTTTTGCTTGCATGCATGGATGCGCACTTATGTGAGTGCAGTTCCCTTGGAGGCCAGAAGGGCATTGGGTCCCCTGGGTCTTGAGTTCCAGATGGCTGTGATCTGCCATGTGGGTGCTTGGGAATTGAACCTGCGTCCTCTGGAAGAGTAGCCAGTGCTCTTAATCACTGAGCCATCTCTCCAGCCCAATTTTTTTATTTTATTTTATTTTTTAGGAATTTCATAACAAACCTCATTTCCCAGCTGAGGACATGTCTTCACTCTCTTGTGCGAGCTTTGTAAGCCTTATAGAGGGGGTTTCTTAGGAACCCTCTGAGATATAACTTGAGGTTTTTTTCAAAGTCGTATATATGGCCACTGCTGAGACATTTGGTGTGGCTCCCTTTGAAAAGTCCACATCTATGCTGAGGGGTGTACTGTCCTTTCTTCTCTTTCTATCAGCCGCTGCTTCAGTCCATGTTAAAGTCTCTCCTTGACAAACCCCAACTGCAACCCATTCTGGGTCAGCATGAAACTATTTTCTGTGGAAGTCAAGAAGCCTGCGTTTGCATGGTCTACAAAGTGAATCCAGGACAGCCAAGGCGACACAGACAAACCCAAGATGTCTTGGAGGAAAAAAAAAAAAAAAAGAATCCTGGGTTTACGTAAATGGAGTTCACTGAAAGAACTGGTAGAGCCCTGACTCTGGCTTCTGCTCCAGTGCTATTTAATAATGTCTATCCTATTGAGCAAATGGAGACACTGACTCAAGTTCAGTTTTGCAGTTCACATGAGGCTGTAGGGCTAATTCTGTGAGAGTTTTATAGGGAGCCGATGTGTTTTAAGCCACATTCCTGTGCTATGTGTGGGACAGTGGTTCCAAGGACAAATGGAAGGCTATGTGCCAGCCCTTCTAACAGAGGCATAATCAGGAAGAGGCTGTCTTTCCTGGAGAAACTCTGCCTCAGATGGGAACAGCTACTCTCTGCTGCTGTATGTCTGAACAGACATATTCCCAAGCCTAAGGCTGTCAGAACAGTCAGGAGGCTGCTGACAAAGGGCAGCGATGCTGGAGCAGAGGAGCCTTGTCCCAGTGCATGTGCTTGTTGGAGCATCCATGCCAACTCATCTCCCAGCTTTCTGTCAGTGGTGCCCTCTGACCTCTCCTCCACCCTCCCTGCTCTGTGGCTTTCCATTCTGCCTCCACACACTGAGAGACTTGCTCTGACTATCTCAGGGCTCCTGTTAAGCCCTCTTGGCCAAGAATCTTTAGACCTTTTATTTGGCCGTGCTACACCATGTTCCGTGTCCAGCCATTGTTGCACTCATTGGAGAGGGAGGGGTCTCCCATAGTCCAGGTGAGCTCGTGAGCTCTGGTGATACCTGTGACAGTTGGTTTCTGTAACAAAGTACCAAGCCTAAATAAACTTCCCCTGGCTGGTTTTGGAACCTCCAGACATGTAGTTCTGGTAGCTTCTGCCTGGCTCGGTATCCTTCAGAATGTTGTGGTTCTGAAAGAAAAGTCTTGATTGTTCTCACACCTGAAGTTCCTGCTGGACAGGAACTGATGGGCACCAGAACATGGATTCCAATGCAGACTTTGGGGAGGCACAGGTGTAGACCTTCAGAACCCAAACCAGGTATGCATGTTCCTTCTGTTGTTGAGGTCTTTGATAAATTTGAATTGCTTTATTACGCAAATTTCTTCCCTGGCTGTCTTTACCCCAGTGCTTCTAAATCCAAGATGGCATTCTATGCACTCTATTCACCGGGAGTTGCCAGTGTGAGTAAAGCCTGCCACCAGCTGGGTTTTGTGCTCTTATTTACAGGTTTAGGAAAGCCAGAGTCACAGCTGAACGCAGTAGTCACCATCCTGAGACCTTGGGCTGGTGTTTAGTCTTTGTACTGTCTTCACACTCAGGTGCGAACCGCAGCTGATGTGATCTCCAGTCTTTTCCATCTCCTCCTGAGCTTCAGTTCTTAGTTTCATCATTCAGCTCTTGTACCCAACAACAGGAGTCTGAGATCCTATCCCCCAGGTCCTGGCCAGTGGCTATGACTTCCTGCTGTGCACAGCAAGAAGGAGCAAGGTCTTTGACATTGAGTTCTGCTTCTGGGAAAGTCACCCCCTCTCCGCCTTCCCTCGGCCTTCCCTGGCTTGCAATGTGGAGCAGGTGAGTTAAAGTTTTCACAGGGTCATCCTTGTAGAAAGTCCCCTTGCAAAAAGAGTTCTGTGTCTTGCCATGTGCTCTGTCTTGCACATGCCCTTGACTAATGGCTCCTAGGCCAGATGAATAGAACTGGCACCAATACAGGAAATGAAAATAGCAAGGAGAACCCCTTAGGTCTGTATTCTAAGCAACCTGACATTCAGAAGCTAATAACTTTTTGCATAAAGTAAACCTTCATAAGCACGGCACTATGAGGTCCTGCTGTGGAGAGAGAACTGTGCAAAAATAATTTGAGCAGAAAATGTGCAACTATCTCCTAAGAAAGATGTGCACCACAGTCCTGGCACATTTGCTGGCTCTGGCACATGCCGCTTCCCCCCCCCCCCTTTGTATAGCTCATGTTCTACTCATAACCTGGGGGGGGGGTACAGGTAGGAAGGACTTTTCTATCTCAGTGCTCTTCCTGGGGAAACTGAGGCTCAGAGTATGAAAGGGCTTCCATAGTTGACTCTGGATGGGAACCCTACCTGAGCCACTGTCCTCACAGGCAGTGTCTCCCCATGCCCACCCACAGCAGCCATTTCTTCCAGCCTCTCTTTCCCTGAATGCACTCTTATCTTCTCCAGGGCTGAGGCCACTCTTTGTGCCGGTAGGCAGTCTGTACTTGTTCCTTTCAGGCCCCTGGCAAGCAAAAGCAGGCATTCTAAAAAGCAGCAATTATCCCTCTTGGTTCTTTTGTACAGAGCTCTGTAAATAATTTATTTGGATTGGAGGGTCTGGAGATGGAAACACACATTAGACCTTTTGGTAACCAGGCAAATTCAGAGTCTGGAACTTAAAGGCCAGTGGAAAACAAGTGAGAAAGTAACATGTCTCTTTGAAATCAGAGAAGACAACAAGACCTCAGTGCCCAGGCAGGAGGCTGGGGCTGGCCAGGCTGCAGCTGGAAGGAAGTTTTCTCATGGCATTTAAAGGTCATCGGAGGGGTTTCTACAACCATATCCAGAGGCCCTATAGCTAGGATTTTTGAGCAACTGTCTGTGAAGTTGGAAAACTCAGACCTGCACTGCGACTGGTCCCAAACTCCTCCCGCTGCACTCAATACCTTCATCAAACAAAGAAAATTGTGTTTGCCAGGCTGGCTCGCTGAAGTCACAAGATTCCCAGTCTCACATAGTGCTCCGGAATGCCTGCGAAACCTCCCGAGGAGGGGAAGGCTGTGCACTCCACCTTTCAGATAACTGCATTTAGTACCAGCCTGAAAAAACATGTGATGGTCATAGACTTGGTGAAGAGAGACTTGCTTCCTTCCCAGAGAAAAGCCAAAGTTTGCTTCATTCACATGTGCCCGGGCCTGAAGGTGACTGAGCAGCCAGTGAGCAGCTATGAGGTACAGCTGGGTCTTGTCAGTATGGGTTCAAGGGGAGGGGGCTGGGGGGAAGGGGGCAGGGGGGCAGGTGCACATTGAGCTAGGAGATGCTGATGGAGGTGTGTGTGGGGGAACCCACAGGCCAGGTGTGTCCTGTGGTCTAGCAAAATCATTCATTTGTTTGTATCTTGTAAAGACTTAAGATATCCTTTAATTTAGCTCAGTTTTTGCAGTACGTTGGCAGGGATAACATACTGGATGGGTGTGATTGACACACAATTGACAACAAAAATCTGCTCAAAAATTTCTGAGTTGGGTAACTGCTATCCACACCTGAGAACTGTAGGAACTGTTGAGCGCTGCGTGATTCCAGTGCTGTGAGCCCTGTGAGTTTGCATTTCTCTGTCTCTAGGAAGAAATGCTTACTTGACTGCCTGTGAGTTTAGAGGGAGTGAGTGTTCATGACTCAACTTGATCTCATTGAGATAGCAAGATTCCAGAATGGTCTTTTATTTACTTCTCAGTCATGAGCTTTAGTTTTCAAGCCCAGACAACTTTTTGGAAAATGGGGAGGACTTTGGAGTTTGACAATGTCAACTTGAGATAAACACATTACCCTGAAAGATATCTGTAGTCTACTCTGGATACCAGCCAACAGCGGTTATCTTTTCAGAAAGTAAACACACATGAAACCTGATCAGCTCTTCATTGTACCTGGAATAAATTATGAATGACACTGTAATCGACTCCCAGATAGCTCACTTACCCATCTCTTTGGATGATTGTAACATGCACATTGCTAATGCTTTATGAAAAAAAGGTAAGCATTTGAATATTGATGCTGTCATTAGGAAAGACTCTCTCCCCCCCCCCCCGGGTTCTGGCAAATACCTGAGACCTTTAGTCACCCATACTTGGCAGTAGGGAAGCCAGTCTGACAGGGAGGAACAGGTTTTGCAGGGTTCTAGGCTGGCTTCTTCCAGTTCCAGTCCTGGGAGGGTGAATTTCCATGTTCACAACAGATATGTAAAGGCCACAGGAAAAATGGTGTTAATTAAATTCAGTAGTAGTCCTTATTCATTAATTCATTGCCCAATCAGCCAGAGCAAAAGGTGTACAATTATAAAATAATTGAAAGAAACCAGAGATGTTATTATTCACAAGTAATTAATCGGACGGGGACAGAATTTTATCATTGTAAAATTTTCATTGTGGCTATTTTCCAATCCCCCAGAGAGGGAAAAACTTGTTTAATTATCTCATCATGCATTTTACAGTAATGCTCATAGCTCTGCTTTAAACTCTTCCTAGTGAACACCCTCTCTTGCATTCCATTCTTCATAAATAAGACTTCCACGTTCCTTCATTATTGTAGTCACACTGAAAGTAATGTGAAAAGGTGTTTTGCAGGAGATTGCACAGAAAAATGCAGATTGCCTCAACTGTATGTTTCTGTGGCTGAACCATTTACTACCATTGACAGCCAACAGCCTAGCCACGTGTGTTAAATGAACCCTAGGCCACTCCCCAGCTAACAGTCCAACCACTTGGGTAGTTTTTACTGAATCTATATGGCACACGGTGTATTTAGGGCCAGTTTCCTGTGCTCAAGGGCAGGCTTGGAAACAGAATCCTGGTCTTCTGACCTTCTGAATTTTAAACTGTGCTTAAGTTCAGAGCTGGAGACCATAGATGGAGGTGATGGAGATGTACACAGAAGACCCACAAGCCAGGCATCTTCTCTGGTCTGGCAAACACATCACATCTGTCTGCTGTCTGGGTTTGCAGTTTATTCTGTGTATGATCTTTTTTTTTAAATCAGATTTTATGTGTTTACTTTCTGAAGAGATAGCTGCTGCTTATGGTTCGTACCATTTTCAGAGTACAGATATCTTTCAGAGGGTCCTGTGTTTATCTCAGATCGACATTTTTCATCTCCAAAATTCAGTAGTAAACATTTCAGCATTTAAAATAGCCCTACGCCATTGAGCTATTACAGGAAACAAACCTTGGTGCTCCATTTCCCAAGGCAAACATACCTGAGAGACCAACTAACAGCCCAGCCTGCTGCTGGACTTCTCTCCCGGCATCAGCTCAGGGGCTTCCTGTTAACCTGGGCTTTGACCATGAAGTGACTGATGGGGCAGAAAATGAGCAAGGTCGCTGGGATGAACTCTCAATCCACAGGGGTACTAGATAAAAGAACTGGGTTCGTTTTCAATAAAAGTGAGTTTGGGAGATTTTTCTGTGAAAAGCTTCTTGGTGTCAAGTTCCTGGGAGAAACTGCAAATTTACTGAGCCAAGGCTGGGATTTATGGATGGGGAGTTCTCTAAAACCATCTTAGTCCTGAGCTGCGTTAACTCAGTGATTGGTGTAACTCCAGATAGGAACCATCACAGAACCTGTGCTGAGATGCTGCCGGGTGAGGAAGCAGAGGAGCACGAAGATGTTGTAGATACTGTTTGCCTGATGTTTGCAAAGCCTGGCTTCCTCTTGACCCCAAAAGTACCCCAAACTAATAGGAACATGATGTGTTAAGGGAATTCTTCCCTGAATAAGTGTTCTGTAAGGTTCAAAAATTAACCAAGCCATAGCTGGACATGGATGGTCCTGTCTGAAAACTCTGTTTGCAGTTCACATGGTGAGCATGCATTCCCAAGATGTCCCATGAAGAAGGCTCTCCCTTCGTTACTGCATCCCCGAGTGAGTGTGTTTAAACATCTTTGCTCCACAGGGTGCCAAGAATGATCTACAATATCATTTGGTTTTGAATGAGTTATTAAGTATCCAGTAAGCCAGTATGAGAGTAAACAGCAATTAGCAGATGGACAAATAGATACCTAGGTAGCAAAACATGACCACACTGGGGACTCAGGGCATCCAGCAGAAATGGACTGGGGCAGCTCCTTTAAGGCAGTCAGCAGTTGTTCCCTATAGAGACTGCAGGACAAAGCAGGGTGACCCATCGGTGATGCTATCAAGCAAAAGAACAGATAACAACAGAAAGCTAATGTCATCCAATCAAGGTTTACAAACATCCAGCAGAAACCAACCGGGGAAGCCCCGACAAGACAGTCAGCTGGAGCTCCCAAGAGAGAGGTTCCCAGCAGAGAGGGATGACCCCTCAGATCAGGCTTCCAAGTTAAAAAAAAATGAATAGGAGCAGATATAGATACTGTTATGGAGTCTGGTGCTCACAACATCTTGCAGAAACTGACCAAGAAGGCTGAGACAGTCAGCCCGAGTTCTCTATTGAGCTTTCTTTCCATGGTTGGCTTTCCTGCTTCTTTTTCCCACTGCAGACACTTTTACATCATGAGATAAACAATAATAGTAATCTCTGTTGGCTAGAGCTCACCTTCTCGCTGTTTTCAAGGGTACACCAACTTTGCTCATGAACTCTTTTGTGCTCCCTGTCACAGAACTGGGAGTGGGTAACTCATCCCTAGCCAGGGCATCCTCAGAAGACTCTGAGACAACATGCTTTGGTCTAAAATGGGGTTTGGAATGTACACTTCAGAGGCAGGCCTGGTGATCTCAAACAAAACATGACAATTTGCCATTATAATATGCATTAAAATGGTTATTGAGACCTGTCTGGTAATAGATAAATGCTGGAGCTTGTAAGTGAAGAGGCCTATCTGTCTTCTGATAGGTGACAGTTTTAAACATTCTCTTCATGAAAGGTGTACCTGAGCCTCTTTCACCATCTGCATCTCTATTTTCTAGTTATTGTTATTATTATTTTATTGAATTTTTATTTTTTATATTAATTACAGTTTATTTACTTTGTATTCCAGCTGTAGCCCCCTAGTTATCATTATTATTTTTGTTGTTATTTGAAAAGACTTTTGCTAGCAATGTTTGGTTTTGGCTACCTAAAGGATCATGGTGAAAATCCCCCATCCATGTGTTCCAACTAAGATCACTGTGACTCAGTGGGCCCAGAGCAATAGCAGAGCATCAACACTAAATAACAAATGAACTAAAACAATTTCTAGGAGGCTCCTTACATCTCCCATTTCTCTCTGGTTCACGATTCTCTCTGCCTTCCCAAGCACGTGAGGCAAACACTAACAGTGGGATCAAGGTTATTGTGAGTGCTGTTCATCAACCTCTCTGTTTTTTTTTCCCCCATCTATTTCTTCAGATTGATTTGCCTCCTGGTTTTGAGTTGTATTTTCTTTCTTCTTTACACACCAGCTTTTCAGCTGGATTTTAGCGATTGTGACTTTTGCATTGTTTAATGCTTGATTTTGTATTATTCCTGTAAAGAGAGTTGGGTGGGTTCTGGTAGAGTAAGCTGTTTGCGGATAGCTTGGTTCTGCTGGGGTTTACTGGTGAGATCTGTGAGAGGTCTAAAGGAGGCTGTGGAACAGAGCAAGTGGTTCTCAAATACCATGGCTTTGCTCCATGGTAATGTCTGGAAATAGTTTTGGTGATGGCAGCTGGGAGAAGGATGCCACTGATTCTAATGGGTAGAGGTCATAGATGTTGCCACCATCTCTCTCTGTGTGTGAAGTTATGTGTGCAGGTGTGTGTATATGAGCATGAGAGAGAGAGAGAGAGAAAGAGAGAGAATATGTGTGATATCTAGAAGTCAACTTTGGATGATGTCATTCATCTATTCATCTTGCTTTTTAAGGCAATCTCTCTCTCTCTCTCTCTCTCTCTCTCTCTCTCACACACACACACACACACACACACACACACACACACTTTTACCCATAAATCATTGTTTGGGCTTGCCTGGCAAGCCCCAGAAACTTACTTACCAGTCTTAGTACCTTGCAGTCTGAGATTAAAAGAGCATATCACTAGCATGCACTTTACTGACTGAATTATTTACCAAGCACAGATGATGTCAATTTCTTTCAATGCACTGCACCCCTCTCTTCCTTCCAATGGAAAAGGAGCCAGCCTAAAATGTCCATAGCATGGAGGGGGTGAAGCCCTGTTCTAGGGCATACTCAGACCTGCTGTTAAGACGCAGCCTTTCTGAGGAATCTCTCTGGCTTCT